AAAACCGCGAATATCTCAACCACGAACAGGTATATTTGATGCAGCTATCTACTAGCTAGTTGCCTGCCGCCTAGGGCACGTACGTGCATTGTGTTCTATTGAATCGCACATGCTGCACTTTGGTTTTGCACGTTGCGGTCGCTCGCTCGCCGTGGCGGCTACCCCCTCTACTCCCCCCTCTTGGGCAGTTTGTGCCCGAGAGGCGCCTTCTGCCCCTAATAAAACACCCCCCTTAGCTACGTATTTGCGCTTCTGTCCCTTCTTCTTTTTTTGGCGCTGATTCTCCATGCGTATCTTCTCCATTTCGCATGTAACTAGAACGGTAGTTGACATTGATACTTCGCATAATTTCTGAAGCTGGTTAAGTACGCGGTCGGTCGGGCTTCGCGGGCTATGCGTGGCCCGTTGGCGATGGCGCTTTATCAAGGCTGTTTGCTTTTGTAGCTCGGCGAGATTCCGGGGTGTTTCACCAAATGAGGATGCTTTTGATGGTGGACGTTCGGGTGGTGGTGGTGTCTGATATTCCGTGTGCAGCCGTGATAGCACGCGATCAGGGCTATATGGCATAAGGCCAGTAGCTGCAAATCCTGCCCGTATATTGCTTTGATGTAGCGCTGTCTGCCTAGCCTGCCTATACAGTGGCAAGAATTCGCGCTTATCAATATGATTGACGCCGCGGCCCATAATCTGTTCAACGAGGCGTCCGTAGGCTTGCTTTAGCGGCGAGAAACAGCCTACATCAAGCGGCTGCAGCAGATGCGAAGAATGCGCCGGCATGCATAGCGTGATGATGTTGTGCTCCATGCAGAATTGATCAAATTCAGGGCTTACGTGGCTGCCGTGGCCATCCAATACAAGCATACGATACGTGCCAACAGTGCGATCCTTTGTATACTCGTGGAATAGCTTAAGCCAGGTAAGGCCAATCTCGTTGTTTGTCCAGCCATTGTCGCTAACACCAATTGACCATTCAGGTGGAATAATATTATCCTCGTACCAAGCAGCTTGGTGCATCACGGCGTCGAAGATGACAAGCGGCGGAATATCACCCCCAAGCGCGTTGATGCACTCGATAATTGTAACCCACTCTCGATTGCCTGGCTGTATTGTCCTTGGTCTTCCAGCTCGGTCGGTTCCAGTAACAACCTTTGCAGTTGCAATAACACCCATTTGGAAGCCTGTCTCATCAAAGTTCCAGGTATCATTATCCAAAATTCCGTATTGTATCTTTGTGTCTTGTACACGTTTATACCAGCCACGAATAAGTATAGGATCTTCGCATTTGGCCCGCTGATAGTCGTACTTGCGATTAAATTTGCTTTGAAGGTCGTTGTGGCGCTTAATGAAGTTCCGTACCCAATGCTGGCCGATGGGCTTAATAGGTCCAAGTTGCATAGCTAATAACGTAGCCATTTGCCGTACGGTATCGATTCGTGGTGGCATGCCGCGTTTATCTCTCGAGAGAATCCACTGCTTGAGAGCCTCTTCTTGTGTAGGAAGTAAGCGGCGATTTGTTGCAATAGAACCGTGTTTTGGGGTGATGCCGGCATTGCGACGCCGTAGGGTTGTTGGGGGCACATCAAATAGTGCTGCAGCTGCCTCAAGAGTTTCCACTTGGCCCATCTTGTAGGCCTGGATAGCAAGCGCTACCCTGCCCTCTTTGTGCATGCGCTCTTGTTGTTGTGGTGTAACCATTGCAATAGTTGTAAAGGAACGCGTCGCGCGTCGAGAGATTTTGGTGGGGGCCACCACTCGCTTGTAACCACCACATGCTTGTAGAATACGTTAACGTAGTTGACAAGCATGTGGCCACCCCATGCATGTGGCCACCCCACCAAGCGATCAACGCCGAAAAATTTGAATTACTCAACAACGAACATTTGTATTTGGTGTAGCTATCTATTTACTAATTGCCTGCTTCTTGGGGCAAGTACGGGCGTTGTGTTCTAGTGATTCGCACAAGCTACACTTTGGTTTTGCACGTTGCCGTGGCGCGCTCGCAGCTGTTGCTGCCCCCTCTTCTGCTTCTATTTGGCCACCTTGTGCACGAGAGGCCCCTTCTGCCCCTGATAGAATACCCCCCTTAGCTACGTACGTACGCCTTTTTGCTCTCTTCCTTTTTTGGCGTTGATTCTCTGCCCGTAGCTTCTCAATTTCGCTAGCAAGCAGCGCGGTAGTTGACATTGACATTTCGCACGCTTTTGAAAGCTGGCTAAGTGCACCGTCTGTTGGACTTGGTGGGCTATGCGTGCGCCGTTTGAGATAGCGCCTTATTAGGGCTGTCTGCTTGTGTAGCTTAGTGATATTGTGCGGTGTTTCAGCTGCCCAAGATGCATTTGATAGAGGACGTGGTGACGGCGTTTGATATTCAGCGTGCAGCTGTGATAGCACGCGATCAGGGCTGTATGGAACAAGGCCAGTAGCTGCAAATCCTGCCTGTATATTGCTTTGATGTAGAGCTTGTTTCCTGGCCTGCCTGTATAGGGGCAAGAATTCGTGCTTGTCGATATGGTTGACACCGCGGCTCATAGTCTGTTCAACAAGGCTACCGTACGATTGCTTGAGCGCCGAGAAACAGCCTACATCAAGCGGCTGCAGCAGATGCGACGAATGCGCTGGCATGCATACGGTGATGATATTGTGATCCAGGCAATAGCAATCAAAATTCGGGTGTACGTGGCTACCGTGGCCGTCCAATACAAGCAGCCGATGCGTGCTAATAGTGCGATCCTTTGTATGCTTATCAAATATCTTCAGCCAGGCAAGGCCAATTGCATCTGTTGTCCAGCCATTCTCGCTGACGCCGATCGACCAATCGTGTGGAATAATATCATCTTCATACCAAGCAGCTTGATGCATGATAGCCTTAAAGATAACAAGTGGTGGAATATCACCCCCAAGCGCGTTGATGCACTCAATGATTGTAACCCACTCCCGATTGCCTGGTTGTATCCCTTAACCCGTTGAAATGGGTCCTACGTTATCGATAAGGCTGCGGCCAATAAGAGGCTCTGATTCCTTCCTCCGTGATGAGAATTACAATAACCTGAGGCTATTCGAATTGCTTG